TTATGCGTAACTACTTTTATATATAAGTTTTACCTAAGTCATCAACTATTGATTTACAAATTAATCAGTTTGAGATATATAACTAAAAAAGATAGTGTAGAGTAGGTCATTCCCTCGAAAATTTTATTGGAGAACCTATCAAAAAATCTATATTTTAATTAAAATCTTTAAAAATCACCAATTACATTAAAAATTTTATTTATATAGATCATATATATCAATTTTCATATTCACTTAATACTTATAATCTTAATTATTGACTTATATTTCACGGTGTTAAATTTCCTTTAATTAATGAAATGGTTAGGCATACTAAAATAATTTAAAAATTGATATACATAATCTATATAAATAAAATTTTTAATCAAATGGTTAATTTTTGAAAATATTAAATAAAAAAATTTTTTTGAATAAGTTTTCTAAAAAAAATTTTAGAAGACAACATGCAAGCATTTTTCCTATAACTAAATATAGCACTATTGTTTCAACAAGAATGCAAAAAATGGGGACATTCTAATAATTTAAATATCAAATTTTCTTATAAAATTATTTAAATATCTTTAATAATTTTTTTTTTGTTTATTGATTTATTATTGGTATTTAAATAATTTCATAAGTAACCCTACATTTTAAATAATTTATATTTTTTTAATATTGAGTTGTAAAATAAAAAATAAACATATCTTAATCGTTAACTCATCATACTTATAGAGATGATAATTTCTTCCACGACCCGCAAAACTTGGCGAGAATCTCCGTCCCAAGGATAAAGATTCTCAAAAAATTTCTCCCTAGTTGCAGGTGGGGATGGAAACAATTTTTACCCTGTCAAATTTCATATGGAATTTACTCCCACCTTGCAAAACCTAAGTGGGAACAATAAATAAATTATAAATTATCTTTTTATAAATGGTAATAAGACAATTTTTTCCCTGTCAAATTTCATAAGGAATTTACTTTCACCTTGCAAAACCCAGTGGGAACAGTAAATAATAAAAAAAAGTATAAATTACCTTTTTATAAATTATAATAAACCCATATATCTTAATTCTCAAACTCAAAATCCCAGCCACAAACACTTTTGCAGTTTTGCCTCTTGCGTCTCTCCTCTTTAGTATTTTAATTCCTTCTGACCTCACCTCTCCTCACCTCTTTTAATTTGTCTTTAGCTTACTTTATTTTTTTATGTTTTATGGGCAAAACTTGATTTTTTTTTATTTTATTCAATTCATTTTCTAGAATAAAATACTTAAAAATTATTAGTTTTTCTAAAGTGCTTTTGAACTTTTTTTTACTAGGCTAAAAATTAAGTGAATCAAAATATTTTTGTGTATAGCCAGACAAAGAAAAGTATTTTTATATACTTTTGAGGGGATTGTTTATACCTGCAAGAACTCCTCATTCCTTGCGAAAATAGGGATGGAGAGCATATTTTGCTCTCTATCAAAAGTTTTTGTGGGGATTCTTATACTCACCAATAACAGGGATAAAGATGAAGAGAGGATTCTCACCTTGTGAGAGTTTATTACCATCTTTACTTACTCATATATCATACAACTCAAATTTATGATTTTTTATTTTTAAAACAAAAAATAACTACTAAGACTTCATTTGTTCGTGCTTCACACAGATCTTTTCACATAAGATCTTATTTGAAAAAGTACATATATTACTTTTAATTAATTTTTATATATTTTTAAAATAATAATAAAAAAAAACCTTTAAAATTATAATGTAGTGCAATACAACACATTACTCACAAATGAAACTTAAGTTACTTTAATATATATTAATCTTTGTCGAGTTTGCTTTTCTTGTCATATGTATCAAAAGAAGATAATTTATGTTAGCAGGTAAGAAATTCATGAACGATAACAATTTTTTTAAAAAATAATCGTGCACGGCCAACTGGTCCACCACCACTTGAAAGATACTTTATATTCAAGATAAAGCGAAAGAAATGAAAAAGAGATTCGCCCGTACCATGTTTTTCATATAAAATTGAGAAAAGAAGGAAAATGAAGGTGAATGGAGTAATCAAGTTGCAATATTTAATGACCTGTATTATATAGGCTTCTATTTTAAATCATTGATGAGCTACCAAGAAATTGAAAGGAGGACAGTTGGTCCACCAAGATACTTGTAAGACTAAAACTCCTTTGGTGATTCTGGTCAAAATTAAGAACTTTTCTTTGTATGGAGGATTCTTATTGGCAATTTTGGAGTAATTTCTTTGTTTTATTATTTAAAAATGAACGATATATTATATATACCAGGCTAAGATATTGACAATGCTACCTATAACGTGGGAGATTTTACTTTTGCTTTATTATTTTTTTAATACATCTTATAAAGGATTATATAAGAAGTCAAGAATGGGTTTTTATTTTTTTAATTTATTTTTATTTAACTCAAAATTTACATTACAAATTTATAAATTAAAATTTTAAATTCTTAATCAGTTAATTAGTTGATTCCTTAAAAATTACTTTTGGTTCATTATTATTAGAAGGAAAAGACTCAAAATTATATATAATCACTTTTCAAGGAGAGAGTATACCTTGCCAAACATTTTGTTTCAGTGGGAATACAAGTTAGTGTATTACGTTTTCCTATAATTTTTTTTAATAATAAAAAATTTTGAAAAAAGAGGATCTAGATATAAAACTTTCACACATTTGATGCTAGAGGCCTACTGACATTAGTCGGTCAATCGTGCATTTTTTCCTCTTCTTAAGCAGTTCGGAATCTGTTTTTTTGTAAAAAATGTTCAAAATATATAACTTAGACTTTTGATGTTCCAGCAATTTCCGCGTTGAAGTGGCCAATAGACTACTACGTACTGGACGTTTTCCTAACAATTTTGACTTCGAAGTTAAAGGTCAAAGGTATCAATCACTACCATATTATAATAATTAGTATTGCTCAATTAACAATGTCAAGATAAGCACTTATGACCCGAACTGGGCTTTAAGGTCTAATGGTTCATTTCATGTCTTAGTGCGTGGGTAAGGCGGTGGTTAGAGATTTGAGTTTTACCATTGTTGTAAACTCCATCAAAATATGGTTTAATGGTCACGTGCCTTATTTGAAGGATGAAATATTCACCCGATCTGAGAATTTTAATAACTAATTAACCATTAAGTCGTACTAACTTTCTAATCATTACTTTTGTAAAAAAAAAAACACTTATGATCAGTGGCAGAGACGAGGGGGCCAAGTCCCTCATAAAATACTAAAAAAATTATGTCAAAATTTTAAAGTTAAATAAATTTAGTATATATATTTATCCTTTTTAAAATTAAATAAAATATATTTAGGCAACTATTTTAGATTTTAAAGAGAATAAAAGTTGTAGGACTCGCGATTATACTTAGTTTTTTAGGTAATTAGCTCCATTTAATTACTTACTTTCCTTTTTCTATCCAAATTATTCTTCAATTAGCATTAGGTTTTTTAAATTCTAAACCCAACAACTAATAATACAATTTCTCTTGAATTTTTTTTCAATAGGAGTCTCTTTCCAACTGGATTCTTATAATTTTTATGTAGATTGCAACTTTTAGGTAATACTCTAATATCTTTGAAAAATCATAAAATTTATTATATTATATTAATTATTTTAGAAAAATTTATTATATAGTAATTTGTAACTATTGTTTGTGATAAGGGTAGTAATATACTTAAAGAAAACAACCTCCTTATACAAACTTTTTATATAGTATTTACATGTCACTAAATAAATAAGTAAATACACTTAAAATTACAGATTTTAAATGAATACAAAAATTAAATATTTAAATAATATATAAAGTTATTTTAAAAAATTACATAAAAAAATTATATCCGAATATTTTTTTATGGTAATTATTATTTTAATTCCTACACTATTGCTAAAAAGAACTTTAAGTTTTATACTTTTAAATTGTTAAGTTTAGATTTTTTAGCCTTTAAATCTTCCTGTATTATTTATTGTACGAATGCATAAAAAATATAATTGCACAAGACTAAAAGAGCAAGCCAATAAGATAATAAATAACATATTACCTATGACTTTCGATTAGAGGTGCGTGGTCATAAGATACATTTTCTTATTCTTTTGTTTTGTTTTTTTATGATTATTGTCTCTTTTGATTTTTATTTTTAAATCTTTTGGGTTTAGATGATTTTACATATTGGGTTCTAGATATTGAATTTACTTAATTTAGTTAAAAAGAATACAGGTGATTTCATCTCTTTTTCCTTTATTTTATAGTAATTCTTTTTTTCAGTCATATTCTTGCATTATTAATTTTATATTTTTGTGTTAATATATATATTTGTGACTTATGCCCCCTCTACGTATAAATGTTGGTTATGCCATTGCTTGCAATTTTAATAAAAAATAATAATAAAAAATAGAGATTCATTTATATACAAGTCTTGCATATTACACATATATAAAATTTTAATTATTTATGTCTCAATTTTTAATTATTGAGATTTATTTATATTTATTAAAAATAATTATCTCTTTTACTTAAAATATTATTGTAAATATTAACTATTGAAAATAAAGAGATAAATAATAAAAATTTTATATAAATATAATATATAAAAATTATGTGTAAATAATTTTTTTTAAATATAAAAAATAAAAAACGTGACCGTTTCATCTTTTCCAAAATAAACTCAAATTTTACTTTTGAGAATACAGTTGTGGTTATTATGGCCACATATAGAAATATTAAGGACAAATAATATTATCTATAAAAATATTCATTTTTTTAGTATAATTATTAAAAATAATTGATAATTAATATGTCTGGATCATTTAATAAGTTAAAATTAATTTATACATTAATATTTTTAAATATTATAATTAATTATTTAAAAAAATTATAAAATAATAAAATATTAATTAAACTTGATAAAATTTATGTGATTTTAATATTTTTATATATAATCATAACCACTACGGGAGAATACAAGGGGTATTCTACCAGCTGAGAAAAATAATACTCTCTAAACCTTACATAAAGTAATAACTTTCAAAAGACTCCTATGATCCATCCTCCCCGGCTCCCAGCTCTCAATTGCTATCCCTCCATTTCTTGCATTTTATTGCAAAAGCCTAAGACATCTCACAGGATTTCCCATATATCGAGTCATCCCATGGTGAGGAATAAACAGATTTCAAAACGTAAAATCAACTCTGAACTTTATCGCTATTTCGTCTGAACTTTTTTGAAAACTAAGACCAAACCAGACAAAATTCTGGAAGGAATATTAAACCCACGTTCCGTGGTGGACACCGTAGAATTCCATCATCTCTTGTAAAGAGTTTTCTTTCTCATCAACTGGTTATACGCTGATTTGACTGAGTTCCTACCTTCCTTGTCGCAATGCCACCTCCAAGTATATATCCAGCCTTACAAGATTGACTTCTTTTTTTTTTTTTTTCTTTTAATGTAATAGAGCAAGTAGTTTAAATTTGTGGGAAATGAAGAGGACGAAGTATGTTTGAACACTTCCTATGAGATTGTTTTATATTTAACATTGTCATTGAAAAAATAAAACTAAGCATTTATTTAATGAAGTGTTTAATTAAAACAATAAATATGACATTAATGATAAATTAATATTAATTTTTATTATTTTTATATTAATTATATTTTTAATTTATAATTTAAAAATACAAATTAAATAAATTCATATCTTAATTAGCCCATGCCTTAATGTCAGAAGATATATAAAAAAAAAAAGGTCATTTGCAAACATGCACGTGTTTCTAAGAATAAAAATATATTTTGTATTCAAAACATTGAATTAGTAACAGGAATTCTTGATTCAACGTGTCACTTTTTATTGTTTGAATTAAGAACATACAATTCTTTATTAGGGTGACAATTTCTTTAGGCTCGTATAGCTCCCGCCAGGGCCGCCACCGGAGAGTGGCAGAGACTGGCAGGGCTGGGTATTTGGAAACCGAACCGACGGTTACCAGAAACCTGAACCAAAAAATGAATTTAGTTTGGTTTCAATGGTTTTTATTTTTTACTGTTTTGATTTTAATATTAACCGAATAATTTTTTATTTGGTTTCAGTTGAGCTTTTTAAAAATTAAAAATCAAAATTATGATAAATATGATAAAATATAATAAAATATGAGATAAAATATAATTTATTATTAAAAAAATAATTTATTAATGTTTATTTAGTAAAAATTAAAATTGAATCAATTTTATTGGTAACTGAATTGATCGATTTTTAAATACTTCAATTTGGTTTTGATTCTCAAAATTGAAGAAAATTTTTTTTGATTATTTTAAAATCGATTTCGTTTTTAACTAAAATCGGTTTTTACTGACCCCTCGAGACTGGGGTATTTTTCTAAAAGAAACAATTAAATTAATTCTATAATATAAATTAATAGTAGCAGAAAATCACGACTAACGTGCATGGGAGACAAATTCCATCCCACCGTCAAAGTCCCAAAAGGGGGTATGGGGATGGGGAGGCAATCTCTACAGGTCGTTGTCATCCCTGTCCATTATCTTGAGAGAAAAATAGATGGGCATGGGCTGGAGTCATGCAAGCTTTTCCTAGCAATTTCCCAATCACAGCGCAAGTGCTCTCCAAAATCTTTTCATGTTAAGTTACTTCAAATATTTCTCTGAAATTATGACAGCTTCCATTCAGGAGAGAATTGCTTATTTTTTATGATTCTCGAGTCCAATCATCAATCCCATGACTTTTCTGCTAAATATTTGATATATGAACATGGGGACATCTTTACATCAAATGTACTAATATATTCATGACAGAACGAGTGCTAGCAAATTAACTTGAGCATCATTGATCTTTTAAAACTGCGCCGAAAGGCGTAACCATGGTCTTGGAAATAATTAGAGAGCAACTACTAAAAGGTTGAAGGAGAATACCACATGATTGCTAGGCTAAATCATGTGTTGTCACTCTTTAATCTTCACTAAAAAATTAATATTTTAATATTTATGAGACTTTTTTTTTTAAAATTATGAAATTTTTTTAAAGCATATATAATAAAAAATAACTTTTTTTTTCTCAAATTCTTTCTCATCTATTTGAAGAGTCAAATTAAAAATTTTTAATACAAAAATTCAAAATTTTAACTATTAAAACGTCTCTTAAAAAATTTCTACCTTTTAAGAACTAATTTAGTTAGCTTCTTACATATTTTTAGACGGTGGATACTTCCAAGTGCAGAGTGCCGCAATTTTATTTTAAAGCCAATTATTGTTAAACTGGCAGACCAAAGAGGTTCTGATTTCAGTAATTTGGATCATATTTTATTGAACTATTATTGGGTTGTACCTAACAAGTTTTGTTTGATACTCAAGCAAAATCAATTGTGAAAGCAGTCTTTGCTTCTTATTCTTAAAAAATGTTTCACTGCGTTGGACTTCAAAACAAAGAACAAAATAGAACAGAACAGAACAGCTCCAAAACAACACAAACAAACTC